TTTTTTTTTTTTTTTTTTTTTTTTTTTTTTTTTTTTTTTTTTTTTTAAATTTAGTCTTAATAGTACTTAGCGCAAAGTGTGTAACATCTAGGGATTCCATCGGCTCAACCTTCTTCCTTATGTTTTTTTTACCTATGAACGATCATTGTCGACACCGATCTCCTGTGCCCTCGTTCTGATCAAATGTCACCATTGCACCATCGTTGTCCATCGATTTTGATGCCTCAATTTTGGTATTCTCTCTCTTGTGATCATCGTTTCGATTGTTGATCATTGTACCTCTCATCTCTCTCTTGTGATCATCTTGTACCTCTCATCTTGCTATCGTGGTCTTCTTTTGGTTCATCTCTCTCTTGTGATCATCTTGTACCTCTCATCTTGCTATCGTGGTCTTCTTTTGGTTAAATTTTATAAAAAATTAAAGTTTATTAGTGTAACCTTGAACAATATATGATTGGTAACAAGTGAATCGTGTTCAAGAAATAACTTTAAATGTCTTATCTCAATAATAACTTTAAAGTTTTACTATTGGGCACGAGATTTACTTGACTTTTCCTCCTAAAATCAAGAATAGGTCTAAATGAGTTCTAGCCGTGACGATACATTGTGTTCCCTACACTCCCTAAATAGGATTTGTTTAGTAGAACTTGAGTAGATAACTTGTGAACAATGGGCTCATGAACCTAGGGGGCAGTGAGTTAGCCATTGGAAATGCCCCATCAACACAAAGAAACTAAAACGGAGCGCCTTAATATCCTGCCAAGAACTGATTTAATGCCATCTATAACATCAAATATTGAATAAGTAAAAGGAGGAATTTTCTAAAGAGAAACAATGCGTCTGTGAAGAAACTGTTCATCACACTCATCCTCCTCATCATCTGACACAATAGTTTCGTTCCCTGGTACCTCTAACCTTCCTCCCATACAAAATGATGGCCCCAAACTCTCTGTTTCAATGAAATCACCCTTCAATCTCTCCTCAAATCTCTGCTCACTCACGTTGAGAAACCAGTTCAATGAACATCTGATCCCCTTCCTCTGCACCCTCTCATACCTCGGTTTTATTCTCGATTCCAAACTATACGTAAAATATTCCGGGAACTCCACAAGCTCCTTAATTGGCCTACCCATCTCCGACTTGAAGAAGTAGTAACTGTTTTTCATGAGTTCCACCCGACAAGCGACCAGCTGGGGACATTTCACAACCATCTTAGCTACATCAGAGGAGGGTATACCACGCCCGAGAAGGAACTCTACTGGTTTCATTATCACGTGTTGGTGAAGGCAGAGTATCTGTGGCATTTTTTCAATCACTTGTGCAAACCCTGCAGGATCAATCTTGAGCTTTAGGTCAAAGAAGAATTGCTGAGCAGACAACTTAGCTTTCAAAGGCAACCCAAGAATTTGTGGATAGTGTGCAATTACTGAAGGAAGCAGCTCCTTTCTAATCCCAAAGCTTAGCAAGCAATCGATATTGGGTCTCACAGTCTCTTCGAGATCGTAACCGAGTATGTATGCTCGCTTCTCAAGCATTCTTGCTACTATCTTCTTTGGCAAACCTAACGAAACAATAAAATCAACAAGGGGTTTGATCATGGTTCCAACTCTCATCGCCAAAAAGTACGGGTACTGTGTGACCATTGGTCCGATATCTCTCGGGTTAACACCTATACTCACAAGATATGCAACAGATGTACTCATTGTCCCTTCAAGCTTGTATCCCAGAAGCTCAGGGTGCTTCTGGAGGACATATCCAATATCTTCTTTCTCCACATCGAGTCCACGAAGAAGTTTAACGACAGGAGCAAGCTCTACAATGACACTGGCGTGCAAGACCTGAGGATAATTCTTAATAAATTCTCCAAGTTTCGGCCTCGGAATCCCAATTTTCTCCAAGTAACCTAGAACGGGTATCATATTTTTTCGAACACTACAGCCTAGCATTAAGGGGAACTCGTTAATGTCATCGATTGTCAATCCTAACTTCTGAAGAAACTCAACACGCTCTCTCATGACTTCAACTGTAGAAGGAAGCTCTAAGTGCTCTAATTCATCAGGAACAATTCCCAAACTCTTCAAGTAGTCACAGATTATGACTCGGGACACAAGCTTTTCTTTGCGCCCTTGAACAGCTCCCCAGGTGACTGTAGGCATCTCATATTCATGAAGTTTGGAGGATTGAGTCGAATACAGTACGCTTAAAGGTAAAACCCTACAAAAGCTTTGAATGAGCGATTGGTGTGCGCATGGATTCAGGAAGGATTTGGTGATCTTGGGGCAGAATAAGCCCAAATTCTCGTAAATATGATGGGAAATACCCAAAACCAAAGAGAACTTTGCAGATTTTCTTGGCCTCAGAAATGACAATGCAGTCATTTGAATCAAAACTGCCAAAAAGAGAGATCAAACAGCGTCAATCAGTCAGAGAAGCTCCATAGAATCTTGCCAATCTCCAATTAGAGAGCTGTAAGAGCAAGGAACATAATAAACCCTAATACTACATTTACTCGCATAATCTCCCAATCTTCAAAAAGCTTAATTCGTAAGATCAAGGTTTACAGGTGATTATCGATGGTTAAAGAGCAGTATAGTTCTCATGAATTCAATCGCAGAGGAAACGAAAAGCATTAAAAACCTAAAGATGGACGACGATGAGAGTGTAACTATCGAATCCTAAACAACACAAGAATCAAGAAATGAAGTGTGAGTGCAAGCCAGCCAGTTCGCCTGAGAGACGGAGAGGGAGACATACCAGTATCCCTTCGGCAGGAGGAACGGCGAGCAGTGAACGGCGGCGGGCGATGGGATGGCAGGGGGCGACTCTCTGCTGAGAATTAAATGCACAACTTTATATTCCAATGCATTTGCTTCCATAGATTACACATTTTTATAACCCAAATTTGAATTCACTTCTAAATGCATTTACAATTTTTATTTTATTATATTGTTGAAAAAAAAAAAAAAACACTTTCATTTTTCATACTCTCATCGCCATCAACCTCGACCCCGACCTCCATTTATCTAATTATACGCGATCGGGTTCAAAACTTTGGTAACAATAATGAGGTATTACGTATGATTATGAATACTCTGTTAATATGAAAAGTTCTTAATGTTAGTTCTCCAATAGATTGACCTAGACTAATACCTACGACTTCTCCCAACTTGACCGGGTCCCCATGAGTAGGACTTCGTTCATAACGTAATCCATAGATCCGAGATATACTCTTACAAGTAAAGAGAGTCTGAATAGATACCGGTTATGTTCGATTGATAAGTTCAATACCAATATTTGTTTATGATTATTTTATTTATTTTATATATAAGTTTTGAAGTTTTTCTTACGATTTAGTGTTACACATGTGATAATAAGCTTAGATAGAGGTTTTCATATCGTTGCGGTTGGTATCAGAGCTTAAGATTATGGATATTGTAAGTTGTAAGTGTCTCTATGACCTATCAAGATCACAGGTATGCCTAATTATCAAAATGCTAGTAGTTTTAAATATTTCATAGTTCAATTTTATATAAGTTCATTGTCTAGGATATCCCACTCACGTCTCCACATAAATGATTTCGATCAAATCATTTATAACGATTATAAAGTGGGTCGTATTAATAATGTTATTAGGATAACGTACCCATCCTTATTCATATATTATAGACCGCTTAGGTTGTTGCTCGAACATGATCATCCTGTGTGTCAACAACATATTGTTCAAGATTACACTAGTAACCTTCGATTTTTCATAAAAAAGGATAATATTAAATTGTATAATAAAATAATCAAAATTGTTATTATAGATGAAAATTTGGTACTTCCAGAAAATGTATTCTTTAGCAAATATGTTCATTAGACTAGTTAGAGTACAAATTGAGGTACAAGACCTATTGTTTTAGTATTTTAAGGGCTCAATTGGAAATCTAAAATATATGCTTATTGTCACAGTCTTGTTCATGGCCGCATGCCTGTGACACACTGAAACCTTTACCTTATATCGTTTTCCTTTACTGCTTTCATGATGTATAATTTTCTTCTTGTTTTTTCTAAGTGTATGACATTTCGGTAGAATCATGTCTATGCTTGGTAGACATGAAATGCTCTAGAATATATTATAGGGGTGTGACTAGTTGTCAACTCCTCTCCTGATTTTGTATGAGCGTTTGGCGAAATCACGTCTAGGTCTGTCAGACCTGAATCGCCTCAAAATGTACTATAGGAGGATGCGACTAGTTGTCAAATTCTCTCTACCCGAAAAGTTATATGCTAATTAAGTCGTGGTGTACCGCACAATTATAACATTTGTTGCCAAGAAAATGGAGATTGTGATCGTTGGTATTAGAGCCTAGTTGGCTCAAAAAGTGATTTGATAGACATGGCTACAACCAAATAGTTGAATAAGTTCCACATCGATCGACTAGTCGACATAGAATAACGAATGCAATACTTGCGGGAAGTCTCTGGCAGTATTCAGTATCTAGACTAGTGGGGGACGGAACTCTCTAACAAGACCTTCGCCGTTGATACAATAATAGATCAGTTAGATGAGTTGCCCATTCAGGAACTATTGTATCAAATAGACGACCTAGAAGCTAAAATCACAAAGATTGGTGGTTTCGAACAAGGAGATAGCTCGATAAGATTTGCTAGCCTGATTGAGGAGCGAGTCGATGGCTTAGACAGCTCCCAAAAGGCAATGTTTTATATGATTATTGAGTTATCTAAAGATGTAAAGGTACTCTTGACGTGGTCAAGACAGAAATAGCGGATATAAGCAATAGAGTGAATGTCGCTGTAAGGGCAGTGGAAAATCAAACCCCCAGATGGAGAACAACGCGACCCAACAAGGTCAAAGTTTTGGAACCCAAGTCCTTCTCTAGGGCTTGAGATGCCAAGGTCCTAGAGAACTACATCTTCGACCTTGAATAGTACTTTTAAGCAACAGACACGGAGACCGAAGAAGAAAAGGTCACCTTGGCTACCATGCATCTAGCTGAAGATGCAATATTATGTTGACAGTCGAAGTACTTAGATATCCAAAAGGGTCGATGCACAATAAGCACTTGGGATAGGCTAAAACAGGAACTTCGATCTCAATTCTTTCCAAGAAATGTCTAGATCTTGGCCACAAGGAAGTTGCGAGATCTCAAACACATAGGGAGTATCCATGAGTATGTCAAACAAATCTCGGTACTCATGTTAGACATCTAACAGATGTCCGAGCTAGATAAGATCTTCCAGTTCACAGAAGGACTAAAGACATGCGCGAAATCCAAACTATATGAACAAAACATAGAAGACCTCTCCACGACCTATGCTACGCTCGAACAACTGTTTGATCTCAGCAAGAAACAGTACCAAGATGCAAGGCAAAGCCAAACCTCCTCGAGCAGAGGCAATCGCAACCATGCTTCCAATCCACCCAGAATGGGAAGAGGAGAATAAATCGAGAGTAGAAGGGGGAGAACAAAGACAACCCCAACAAGAGACTATAGTCGTAAGTAGGGGGTCCTACAATCAGAACCACCTCAATCGGCCACCTCCTTCCAGTTTCCTATGTAGAGGGAACCATAATGTATATGAGTGTCCAAAGAAGGCGTCACTCTAAGCGTTCTAAGCCGCTCTAGACGTAGACTCAGAGGCGAAGCCAGAGAGTGAAGAAGCCGAAAAAGCGCTGAATATAGAAACCCCTTGTATGGGAGCCTTAAAGTTCCTATCCGCACTTCAAAAGGAGATAGGGGTGTCAAAAGAACCAATAAAAAAAATGTCTCATGTATGTAGAAGCATGTGCGAACCAAAATTGGTCAAGAGTACGATGGTCAATTCGGGAGCCACCCATAACTTCATGACCGAGACTAAAGCAAATTGGCTATACATTAGGTGGCATCGAGACTCAGGGAAGATGAAGGTCGTCAACTCTGGGGCCCTACTGATCCTTGGAATCGTGAGGAAAATTACCCTCAAGTTGTGAACATGGAGCAGTCAAGTGAACTTTGTAATCATCAAAATGGATGACTTCGATATGGTGCTTGGGATGGAATTCTTACTAGAACCCAAAATGATCCTCATGCCTTTGGCCAAATGCTTAGTCATAATAGGATCCACCCCTATCGTTGTCCAGACAAACATCAAAAAGCCCAACAGAATCAAGATGATATCGGTGCTCTAATTGCAACGAGATCTTGCACACAACAAACTCATGTGCATGGCCATCCTTGTAGTTGAAACTAAAGAGACAGATTAATTTGTGCCCCTAGAAATACAGCGGGTACTAGAAGAGTATCATAAAGCAATACCAAAGAGTTTACCAAAGACCTACCTCTCAATGGGGCATAGACCACAAGATCGAACTGATGTCTAGGTCGAAACCCTTGGCAAAGAATGCTTATAGAATGGCTCCACCTGAGTTAGCAGAGATGTGAAAACAACTGAATGAACTACTTACTGTCGGGTTTATTGGACCTGCAAAAGCTCCCTATGAATCCCCAATGTTGTTTCAAAAGAAGAAAGATGGGAGTCTCTGCCTATGCATAGACTAACGCCTCTTGGACAAAATTATCGTCAGAAACAAGTAGCCTCTTCCCATCACCACCAACCTGTTTGATCGACTACATGGTGTGAAGTACTTCTCGAAACTTGACCTAAGGTTGAGGACTTCCAAGTCTGGATTGCTGAAAGAGATGAGCCCAAAACGACTTCTGTCACTAGATATAGGGCCTTCAAATTTCTGGGCATGCCCTTTGGTTTGACTAATGCTCTTGTCACATTCTGTACATTAATGAACCAAGTCTTCCACGAGTACCTCGGTAAATTCGTGGTAGTCTACTTGGATGACATAGTGGTTTACAGCTCCACCATGGAAGAGCATCAAAACCATCTGCGGTTAGTCTTTAAGAAGTTAAGAGAACACCAACTATATGTGAAGAGGGAAAAATGTCATTCGCGCAACATCGAATCAACTTTCTCGGACACGTAATCGAAGCAGGCAAGGTGAGCATGGAAGAAGAGAAAGTCGAGGTCATCAAGGACTGGAAGACACCCTCTTCAATGACGAAAGTGCGCTCATTTCTTGGATTAGCCAATTATTACCGGCGATTCGTTGAAGGATTCTCGAAGTACGCAGATCCCCTAACTGAACTACTAAAGAAGGGAAAAAAGTGGAGTTGGACTCCACGTTATCAAGAAGCCTTCAGCAACTTAAAGAAGGCCATGATGAATGGGCCAGTTCCAGGAATTGTCGACGTTACAAAGCCTTTGAAGTTGAGAGACAGATGCGTCAAATTTTGCCCATGGAGGCATCCTATTGCAAGATGGACACCCCATAGCATACGAAAGTCAGAAGCTGAATTAGATAGAAAGAAGGTATGCAGCTTCTAAAAATAAATGCGGGCAATAGTCCACTATTTATGAGCTTAGAGACAATACCAACTCGGACAACAATTTTATCTGCCACTTATTTAACCAACCCAAGTTATCATTGAAACAAGCACGTTGGCAAGAATGTGTGGCAGAATTTGATTTTCAATTTGAACACAAGCCAGGTAAGGCGAACGAAGCTACGGATGCCATAAGATCGAGCATTTCAATAAAGTTATTATTGTTGTTTATTCAGTAAAGATTGTTATTGAATAAAGTGAACTTTACGATCATTAATCTAAATCCAATAAACTAAGAACACTCTGGCTATAGTATGATTACTTGAACCATACGTAGAGGCATAAGAGTGGATCAAGTTCAAGTATATAGTCAAAATGATCTATAGTATAAGGATAAGACTGAGTACCTTATTCTAGGGACACTATGGATGCGGCCCACTTTTGTATATGATATAAACAATGTGATCACTAAATTGTACATGTGGAGACATGTGAGTGGGGGCG